TCTTTCCGAGGCACCCACACACCCACACACCCACACACACACTATCTCTTAGGGCGGCTCTCTAACCTTGTACATATTTCACTAACCTAACCTTCCACTAACCTAACCTAACCCACCAACCTAACCTAACCTAACCTAACCTAATCCTAACCTAATCCTAACCCAACCGTCCACTTACCTAACCTAACCTTCCACTAACGTAACCAACATAACCTTCCAATAACCTAACCTTCCACTAACCTAACCTTCCACTAACCTAACCTCACTAACCCAACCTATCCCAACTCAATCCTAACTTAGCCTTCCACTAACCTAACCTAACCTTCCACTCCCTAACCTAATCTAACCTTACCCTAACATAACCTTCCACTAATCTAACCCACCCTAACCTAATCCTAACGTAACCTCACCCTAACGTAACCTAATCTAAACCTAACCCCAGGTCGAGTTAGGGTGATTACTCAAGTCAAATAAACCAGGTAACCTAATCTTCAGGTGATCCCTTTAATTTACTTCGTTATTCTAAGTTAAAATTATTATTTATTTTGTCATGTCAAACATCTGTTCCTGATATATGAATTAATATTTAGTAATTATTTAAATGTAAGAACTGGGCCCATTATAACAAGGACCCATTAGAACAGGGGCCCATTACAACTGGGGCCCATTACAACTGGGGCCCATTAGAACAGGGACCCATTAACTGGGACCCATTCCAACTGGGACCCATTACAACTGGGACACACTGGGGTTCATTAGAACAGGGACCCATTAGGATTGTAACCCATTAAAACATACAAGACAGCCCATAAAAACGTTCTGAGACTAATCACTTAAACCAGACTTACTAAAACCAAAATAATGGCTCAAAGAAACACTAATTGGATAAGACAGGCTCACTTACACTTGAGTACCTGCAGTATTGTAACCCACAGGTGTTAGGCTGCTCATGCCGGTACATCAAAATAATACTGTATACCCTAACCGTGTGTAGGAGGGGGGTGTGTTGTTTATGACGGCGTGAAAAATATTAATACTTAATACTGTAGCTGCAGTGTGTACTCCAGCCTAAATATTTTGAAACCGTGCGCCGCGAACCATTCACTGTTATGTACCCTAGTTTTATTATTAGTGCTGATTATTTATATAGACAGATGTACAGTACAATACAATAGTACAGTACAACACAGCAAAATACAGTACAATAAAATACAGAGTACAAGTACCATACAACACAGTACAGTACAGTATAACACAGTACAGTACAGTAAAGTCCAACATAGTACAGTATAGTACAACACAGTACACTATAGTACAGTATAACACAGTACAGTACAGTACAACACAGCGCAGTATAACACTGCACAGTACAGTACAACACAGCACAGTACAACACAGTACAGTACACAGTACAGTACAGTACTGTACAGTACAGTACAGTTCAGTACAGTTCAGTACAGTACAACATACAGCACAATACAGTACAGTATACACAGTACAATACAGTACTGTACAGTACAGTTCAAAACAGTACAGTACTGTACTGTTTTATTGTACTGCACTTCACTGTACTCTGTTGTACGGTACAGTGATGGTACAGTACTGTACTGAACCGTACAGTAAGGTAGGAAGGACGGGCCCCACATGAGCCTCAGCCTTCGTCGGCATCGCATCATTTCCACTTCAACCAGGAATCGATCTCGGGGCGCCCTCGCTGGATGACGGAGCCTAGCCCGCCCCGCCCCGCCCCGACCTGCCCCGCGCTGCTCCGGGACGACGCGCCAGGCCCAGGGACCCCGAGATGTTATGAAACATCATTAGATGGTTTAGTGAGGCCGTGGTGCGTAGGAGCCCACACGTGGCCACGCACGCCTTGGGAGGTGTGGATTACTGGACCTTTAACACCACTGCAGTGATGTCATTATGTCATGGAAGTAACACATAACCAAAACCAACCTAACTTACCACAAAATAATCTTCATATTCGTAAAAAAATTAATGATAATAATAAACCATCTTACATACAAAAAAATATTACCCAAAACTTTGTATTAATATAACTCATCGAACATAATAAAAAAATAGCCTAATACCCGAGAAAATTACTACGTTAACGAAACTATTATATATACCTGTCTGCTATTTCATTTCTTCCTATTATTTTACCCTCGACTTTTGCTAGTTTATTCAATACAAACAAACATGGTGGTGATGTAGGCAAGAAACTAACCAATATTAACCTAGACATTACATAAAGTCAACCAAGACCGTAAGTAATAATCTAACACGTAACGACTCAAGGGTAGTACAGTTAGTTTAGTTATAACGAGGCTGAATTAGGTCTGATTGTTAGGTTAGCAATGTTAGATTAGTTTAATTAGTTTTGATTTTTTTATGGTTAGTTAGGTTATGATAAGTTTGATTAAATTGCTTAGTTAAGTCAGGTTAAGTTTGTTAGATTAGTTTGTCAGGTTAAGCTTGTTAGATGAGGTTGTTATGTTAACCTAACCTAACCTAACCTAATCAAACATAACCTAGAATATAGTTATTAAAAACATTTGTGTTAATAATTGTTACTACCAGAGCAGGTCGTCACTATAGGCTCAAAGGAACACTCAAGTAACGCTTATAACGGAGCAGAGTTTTTCTTCACTACGCTATATTATTTACTATATTAACCTGTATATGGTTCACTATACAGTATTATTCACTATATTGTTCACTATACGACAGAAATGATACGTAATGACAGACAATTTAGTACACAAGACAATCACCTCTACTTACTTTACACTTTTCACTTTTAACAGTACACTTAACGTTACTTAAAGGAGTTTTACACTTACTTCACTTCTTCACGGTGTATTTAACTGTTTCTTACCGTAGAGAATAATGAAGGATGCGAGAAAATGGCAAAAAATAAAGACACAAATTGGTACTTCGGCTTCACTTACCCTTATCGAAATGACCGCCAGGAAGTCAGCCGACGCGGGTCTAACTTTTTAATAACTCCGCCTAAAATATTAAATAAGCTAAAATAATCTAATATAACCAAACTAAGTTTATACAATAATCAGATTGATTTATTTACTTAAGTTATATTGTATTACGATTGGTTATTTTAAAATCATATATTACTAATTATATAGCCCTGTAGACTCTTGATTCCCACTATTTGCTCGTCTTCCTCAAAAACTTAATACTTCTGAAATAATTCTCAACATACCATATGAGAATAATGAATGACGCTAGAAAATTACAAAAGAAGACGACACGATTATGGACATCTGCGTCATAACCTCATGGAAATAACCAAAAAATTAGTTCCTGACTCAGCTGGTGGAGGGATCAAACTTTAAAAATAAAAAATATTAAATAAATTAAATTAATCTAATATAACCTAACTAAATTTATCTAATAATCTTAATTTATTGTCTAATCAGGTCATTTATAATATGAGGATTAATTTTAATAAATCAGTTATTATTTAGCCCCGTAGATACTTCTTCCCCAATTGTTCGTCTCCTGCACAAAATATTAACATTTCTGAAATAATTATGAAAACCTCACAAAAAAAAACAGCAACAAAATACGAAAATTACACCTTATCATCTAGTAAGTTGTTCCTTGGGCTATAAAGTTGGGTAGGCTTCTTGGTTAGGTTGGTGAGGTCTTCTAACAACAATTCTACCACTTGTTTAACTTATCAACTAAGGTTAAGTTTAATTTACAAATAACCACGTATTAACACATTTCCCAAAACTACGACATGTGGCAGGTACTAGGCATGTTGGCAGTACCAGGCATGTTGGCAGGTACTAGGCATGTTAACAGGTACCAGGCATGTTGGCAGGTACTAGGCATGTTGGCAGGTACTAGGCATGTTGACAGGTACTAGGCATGTTGACAGGTACTAGGCAGTTGGGAGGTACTAGGCATGTTGACAGGTACTAGGCATGTTGGCAGGTACTAGGCATGTTGACAGGTACTTGTGTGCTGATGGTACCAGGCATGTTGACAGGTACTAGGCATGTTGGCAGGTACTCAGGCATGTTGGCAGGCATCAGGCACCAGGCATGCTGGCAGGCAATGGCATGCTGGCCGGCACCAGGCATGCTGGCAGCACCAGGCATGCCGACAGGCACTAGCATGCCTGGCAGCGCACCAGCATGCTGGGAGAGGCACCAGGCATGTGAGCAGGCACCAGGCATGCTGGCGCAGGCGCACCAGGCATGCTGGCACACCAGGCATGCTGCAGGCACCAGCATGCTGGCGGCACCAGGCATGCCGGCAGGGCACCAGCATGCCAGACAGGCACCAGGCATGCTGGCAGGCGAACCAGGCATGCCTGGCGGCACCAGGCACGCTGAGAGCACCAGGCATGCTGGCAGGCACCTGCGGGCGTTACAGGCACCAGGGATGCTGGCAGGCACCAGGCATGCTGGCAGATCAAACCAGCACATGTTAACATACACGTCATTATACAATCAGTTAATGCATATAGGCACGGTACACGTCATATACCCGTCGGTTAAGGCAATCGGCATGTTGGCGAACCGGCATGCTGGCAGCGAACCGGCGGCGTTGGCAGGTACCCAGGCGCTGACAAGGCACTCAGGCGGCGCTGGTGGCGCAACAGGCATGTTGGCAGGCACCAGGCATGCCGGCAGGCACCAGTGGCGTTGACAGGTACCAGGCATGTTGGCAGGCAACAGTGCATGCTGGCAGCACAGCATGCTGGCAGGTGCACCGCATGTTGGCAGGAACCGGCATGCTGGCAGGGTGCATTGCGCGGCGGGCAGTACCAGGCGCATGTTGGCAGGCACCAGGCGTTGGTAAGTGGCACCAGGCATGTTGGCAGTGCGCACAGGCATGCGTGACAGGCATGCTGGCAGGTACCAGGCATGCTGGCAGCAGTACTCAGGCAATGTGCTGACAGGCACCTCGGGCGCTGACAGGCACTAGGCATGCTGGCAGCAGTACCCAGGCGCTGGCAGGCACTAGGCATGTTGGCAGGCACGGTAGCCGCTGATGGCACCAGGGCATGCTGGGCACCAGGCATGCTGGCAGGTACCAGGCATGCTGGAAGGCGTGGCATGCGTTGCAGGCACCAGGCATGCTGGCAGGTACTCAGGCATGCTGACAGGCACCAGGCTGTTGGCAGGTACCAGGCATGCTGGCAGGCACCAGGCATGCTGGCAGGCATCGGCGCTGGATTGCAGGTACCAGGCATGTTGGCAGCAATGAAGGGCATGCTGGACAGGTACCAGCAAGCGCAGGTACCAGGCATGCTGGCAGGTACCAGGCATGCCGTGGCAGGTACCGGCATGTTGACAGGCAATGCATGCTGGCAGGTACCAAGCATGTTGGCAGGCACCGGCATGCTGGCAGCACTGCATGCTGGCAGGCACCAGCAGCTGGCGGCACCAGGCATACTGACGATGTAAGTGGCGGCTGGCAACAGGCATGCGATTGCAGGCACCAGGCGCTGCCGGATTGGCGTTAGACCAGGGACACGATGCGCACCAGGGCATGCTGGCAAGGCACCAGGCATGCTGACAGGCACCAGGCATGCTGGAATACCAGGCATGCTGGCAGGCACCAGCACGTTGGCGGCACCAGGCGCATGGCGGCGGCACCAGGCATGCCGACAGGCACCAGGCATGCTGGCAGGCAACAGGCATGCTGGCAGGCAAGCTATGCGGACGCTGGCGGGCACCAGGCATGCTGGCGCGCGGCACAGGCATGCCGATGGCGTACCAGGCATGCTGGCAGGCACCAGGCACGCTGGCAGGCACCGGCATGCTGGCAGGCACCAGGCATACTAGGCGGCACCAGGGCATGCTGAGCGGCACCAGGCATGTTGGCAGGCACCAGGCATGCCGGGCAGGTACCAGGCATGCTGACAGGCACCAGCACGCTGCAGCGGCAAGTACGCTGGCAGGTACCAGGACATGCTGGCAGGTACCAGGCATGTTGGCAGGTACTGGAGAGAGAGAGAGAGAGAGACGTTATATAACACAAACTCTCCTCCTTGCACCAATAGGCTAAAATTTGTTCAATTACGGCCGTCTCAGGTTCGGGATGCTCTACACGAGGTATTTATGTATGTCTGTGTATGTCTGTGTATGTCTGTGTCTGTGTATGTCTGTGTCCGTGTGTGTCTGTGTGTGTCCGTGTGTTATGTCTGTGTCTGTTCGTCTGTGTATGTCTGTGTCTGTCCGTGTCCGTCCGTGTGTGTATGTAAGGAAGGTGGCAGAGTTAGCAAAGCAATACATACATACATATATACACAGCCTGTACAGATATTTAGAAAATACACAGCTTAACACATACTAATTAACCTACATATATATATACACATACAAAACATACATACATCTCTGACTGTACATAAGGTAGAATCACTGTTTATTTACCACGTTATATTGACTTATTATCACACTCATGAGGAAAATTATTCTAATTTTGACTTTATTCATTGTCTGTTTTGAATACACAGGATATAGTGTTTGGCTATAGTGTTTGGCTACTGAGTCATGGTAGTATGAGTGTGTACTGTAGGGTCTGGCAGTGTTGTGATGGTGTAGTCGTGTGTGGCTATAGTGACTGGCTACAGTGTCTGGCTATAGTGTTTAATATAATGTTTGGCTATAGTGTCATATAATGCCTATAGTGTTTGGCTATAGTGTTTAGCTATAGTGTTTGGCTACTGAGTCATGGTGTAGTATGAGTGTGAATGTAGGGTCTGGCAGTGTGGTGTGATGGTGTAGTCGTGTGTGTATATAGACTGGCTATAGTGACTGGCTATAGGTTTCATAATAGTTTATAGTGTTTGGCTATAATGTTTACTATAGTGTCTGGCTATATAGTTGCCTATAGTGTTTGGCTATAGTGTTGGCTATAGTGATCGGCTATAGTGATCAATATAGTGTTTGGCTATAGTGTTTGTTATAGTGTCTGGCTATAATGTTTGGCTATAGTGTTTGGCTACTGAGTCATGGTGTAGTATGAGTGTGTACTGTAGGGTCGGCAGTGTGGTGATGGTGTAGTGTGGCTATAGTGATCACAGGATTGGCTATAGTGTCTGGCTATAGTGTTGGCTATAGTGTTTGGCTATAATGTTTGGCTATAGTGTGTCTGGCTATAGTGTTTCATAGTGTTTGGCTACTGAGTCATGGTGTAGTATGAGTGTGTACTGGTGTGTGGTGTGGTGTGATAGTCGTGTGTGACTATAGTGACTGGCTATAGTTTGGCTATAGTGTTTGGTTATAGTGTTTGGCTACAGTGTCTGGCTATAGTTTGTTTGGCTATAGTGTTTGGCTATAATGTTTGGCTATAGTGTTTGGCTACTGAGTCATGGTGTAGTATGAGTGTGTACTGTGGGTGTGTGTGGTGTGATGGTGTAGTCGTTGTGGCTATAGTGACTCTATAGTGACTGGCTATAGTGTTTGGCTATAGTGTTTGGCTATAGTGTTTGGCTACTGAGTCATGGTGTAGTATGAGTGTGTACTGTAGGGTCTGGCAGTGTGGTGTGATGGTGTAGTCGTGTGTGGCTATAGTGACTGGCTATAGTGTTTGGTTATAGTGTTTGGTTATAGTGTTTGGCTGCACTGAGTCATGGTGTAGTATGAGTGTGCTGTAGGGTCTGGCAGTGTGGTGTGATGGTGTCGTGTGTGGCTATAGTGACTGGCTATAGTGACTGGCTAGTGTTTGGCTATAATGTTTGGCTATAGTGTTTGGCTACTGAGTCATGGTGTAGTATAGTGTGTACTGTAGGGTCTGGCAGTGTGGTGTGATGGTGTAGTCGTGTGTGGCTAGTGACTGGCTATAGTGACTGGCTATAGTGTTTGGCCTATGTTTGGCTATAGTGTTTGGCTACTGAGTCATGGTGTAGTATGAGTGTGTACTGTAGGGTCTGGCAGTGTGGTGTGATGGTGTAGTCGTGTGGCTATAAAATGGCATAGTGACTGGCTATAGTGTCTGGCTATAGTGTTTGGCTATAGTGTTTGGCTATAATGTTTGGCTATAGTGTCTGGCTATAGTGTTTGGCTATAGTGTTTGGCTATAGTGTCTGGCTATAGTGTTTGGCTATAGTGTTTGGCTACTGATCATGGTGTAGTATGAGTGTGTACTGTAGGGTGTGGCAGTGTGGTGTGATGGTGTAGTCGTGTGTGGCTATAGTGACTGGCTAGTGACTGGCTATAGTGTTTGGCTATAGTGTTTGGCTATAGTGTTTGGCTATAATGTTTGGCTATAGTGTTTGGCTACTGAGTCATGGTGTAGTATGGTGTGTACTGTAGGGTGTGGCAGTGTGGTGTGATGGTGTAGTCGTGTGTGGCTATAGTGACTGGCTATAGTGACTGGCTATGGTCTGGCTATAGTGTTTGGCTATAGTGTTTGGCTATAATGTTTGGCTATAGTGTCTGGCTATAGTGTTTGGCTATAATGTTTGGCTATAGTGTCTGGCTATAGTGTTTGGCTATAGTGTTTGGCTATAGTGTTTGGCTACTGAGTCATGGTGTGTAGTATGAGTGTGCTGTAGGGTGTGGCAGTGTGGTGTGATGGTGTAGTCGTGTGTGGCTATAGTGACTGGCTATAGTGTTTGGCTATAGTGTTTGGTTATAGTGTTTGGCTAATGTTTGGCTATAGTGTTTGGCTATAGTGTTTGGCTATAGTGTTTGGCTATAATGTTTGGCTATAGTGTTTGGCTATAGTGTCTGGCTATAATGTTTGGCTATAGTGTTTGGCTACTGAGTCATGGTGTAGTATGAGTGTGTACTGTAGGGTCTGGCAGTGTGGTGTGATGGTGTAGTCGTGTGTGGCTAGTGACTGGCTATAGTGTTTGGCTATAGTTTTGGTTATAGTGTTTGGCTATAGTGTTTGGTATAGTGTTTGGCTATAATGACTTGGCTATAGTGTTTGGCTATAGTGTTTGGCTATAGTGTTTGCTATATGATGTTTGGCTATAGTGTTTGGCTATAGTGTTTGGCTATAGTGTTTGGCTACTGAGTCATGGTGTATGAGTGTGTACTGTAGGTCTGGCAGTGGTGTGATGGTGTAGTCGTAATATAGTGACTGGCTATAGTGTTAACATAGTTATTATATAGTGTTTCTATAGTGTTTGGTTTATAGTGTTTGGCTATAATGTTTGGCTATAGTGTTTTGCTATAGTGTTTGGCTATAGTGTTTGGCTATAGTGTTTCGCTATAGTGTTTGGCTATAGTGTTTGGCTATAGTGTTTGGCTATAGTGTTTGGCTACTGAGTCATGGTGTAGTATGAGTGTGTACTGGGTGTGGCAGTGTGGTGTGATGGTGTAGTCGTGTGTGGTCCTAGTGACTGGCTATAGTGTTTGGCTATAAGTTCTGGCTAGTGTTTGGCTATAATGTTGGCTATAGTGTTTGGCTAGTGTTTGGCTATAATGTTTGGCTATAGTGTTTGGCTATAGTGTTTGGCTACTGAGTCATGGTGTAGTAGTGTGTACTGTGGTGTGGCAGTGTGGTGTGATGGTGTAGTCGTGTGTGGCTATAGTGACTGGCTATAGTGTTTGGCTAGTGTCTGGCTATAGTGTTTGGCTATAGTGTTTGGCTACTGAGTCATGGTGTAGTATGAGTGTGTACTGTAGGGTCTGGCAGTGTGGTGTGATGGTGTAGTCGTGTGGCTATAGTGACTGGCTATAGTGACTGGCTATAGTGTCTGGCTATAGTGTTTGGCTATAGTGTTTTGGCTATAGTGTTTGGCTACTGAGTCATGGTGTAGTATGAGTGTGTACTGTAGGGTGTGGCAGTGTGGTGTGATGGTGTAGTCGTGTGTGGCTATAGTGACTGGCTATAGTGACTGGCTATAGTGTCTGGCTATATGTTTGGCTATATGTTTGGCTATAGTGTTTGGCTATAGTGTTTGGCTATAATGTTTGGCTATAGTGTCTGGCTATAGTGTTTGGCTATAGTGTTTGGCTACTGAGTCATGGTGTAGTATGAGTGTGTACTGTAGGGTCTGGCAGTGTGGTGTGATGGTGTAGTCGTGTGTGGCTATAGTGACTGGCTATAGTGTCTGGCTATAGTGTTTGGCTATAGTGTCATATAGTGTTTGGCTATAATGTTTGCTATAGTGTCATTATAGTGTCTGGCTATAGTGTTTGGCTATAGTGTTTGGCTACTGAGTCATGGTGTAGTATGAGGTACTGTAGGGTCTGGCAGTGTGGTGATGGTGTAGTCGTGTGTGGCTATAGTGACTGGCTATAGTGACTGGCTATAGTGTTTGGCTATAGTGTTTGGCTATAATGTTTGGCTATAGTGTTTGGCTATAGTGTTTGGCTATAATGTTTGACTATAGTGTCTGGCTATAGTGTTTGGCTATAGTGTTTGGCTACTGAGTCATGGTGTAGTATGAGTGTGTACTGTAGGTGTGGCAGTGTGGTGATGGTAGTCGTGTGGCTATAGTGACTGGCTATAGTGTTTAGCTATAGTGTTGGTTATAGTGTTTGGCTATAGTGTTTGGCTACTGAGTCAGTGGTGTAGTATGAGTGTGTACTGTAGGGTCTGGCAGTGTGGGTGTGATGGTGTATCGTGTGTTATAGTGACTGGCTATAGTGACTGGCTATAGTGTCTGGCTATAGTGTTTGGCTATAGTGTTATAGTGTTTGGCCACTGAGTCATGGTGTAGTATGAGTGTGTACTGTAGGGTCTGCAGTGTGGTGTGATGGTGTAGTCGTGTGTGGCTATAGTGACTGGCTATAGTGTTTGGCTATAGTGTTTGGTTATAGTGTCTGGCTATAGTGTCTGGCTATAGTGTTTGGCTATAGTGTTTGGCTATAATGTTTGGCTATAGTGTTTGGCTATAATGTTTGGCTATAGTGACTGGCTATAGTGTTTGGCTATAGTGTTTGGTTATAGTGTCTGGCTATAGTGTCTGGCTATAGTGTTTGGCTATAGTGTTTGGCTATAGTGTTTGGCTATAATGTCATATAGTGTT